GCCTTGTCACAGAAATGCATTTTTAACAAGGCGCTAGCTGTTTAATTTTTAGTGTTGATAGGTTGAATGACAGATGAAATTTTTTCTAATGTTTTTACGGTGGACATATCTGTAAAATTTACTTGAAGTATATAACATGAGCGCCTTGTTATATACTTTTTAACTACCCAGTAACCTTAAAAAATTAAGAAGGTATTCTCGATAATCTAACGTTTTATTGAATTTTCACTATTTTGGCTTTAAATTTATCTAATAGTTAACGGTTTTATTTTCTGATAATGTCGTGCATGTACATTCATATTTTCAAAAATCTGCACGTTTATACTTACAAAAAATTTCAAAATTCTTTTTAAAATATTGGAGGTCGATGAATTATACTAAGCTTTATTATTTATGATTAGTAAATATAGTTTTTGCGTAATAACAATATCAGCTGATTTCTACAAAGCAAGACAGAATTTTAAAAGATTTAAAACTTGATAAATTATTATAATTAAAATTTTAGGAAAAATGAAAGCAATTGTTGCAAAAATTCATTATTCATCGAAAAAAATGTTCTTCTTAAGACAATAGTGTCTATAATATGTTGTATTCCTAAAAGCAATTAAACGTATGTTTTACTTTATGATTCAGAGGATATTTTCGGTAAATGGGGGTCCTATTTAACATAAAAAATTTTTTTCCAAATCAATGGATTTTTTCACCACAAAAAAGATGCTAGAATTTTCTATAGTTATCTTTGGCCACCGCGCTGACACACACAAAAAAAGATATTTAACCAAAATTTCGAACGTTCTAAAAAGGATCAAAAAATATAATTTGATAATCAAAAAAAACCTTTTTTGTCTTTCTTCTTAATAATAAACATTTTGGCGATAAAACTTTCTTTTAATCAAGTTAGGGTCATTTTTCATCAACGTATAATTATATGCTAATTTAAAAATTAGCATATAATTATACGTTGATGAATCAGTGAAGGTACCTCGACTAAAGTTTTATTGATGGAATTATATATGTGTATATGTGGCAGGGAGAGATATAAACGCGAGGTTATATAATAATAATATAATTATGTACAGGAGGAGGAAGTGATGAAGATGATGGAATGCTGAATTTTAAAGTTTTTTCTCTTTCTTTTTATTTTTTGGTCCTACAAATATATAATTCCAATTTTTCTAGTTTGACATACAGCTGCATAACATTGTTCTGATATATAGACATTTATATATCATATTCTAACATAAATATGTCTGTGCCTGTGTGCGTGTGTGTGTGAAGATTAGGCAAACACGTGTATCAAACATACATGACGTCTATAAAAATAATTAATGTCGGATTAAAAGTTCCATTAATTGCCTATATGCGAATACATACAGACTATTATACATACATACATACACACGCGCACACACATATATATATATATAAACACATGCATACACATACACACACACACATGCAAACATATATATATATATATATATATATATATATATTACTTAAGTTTTTTTAAATATCGAAGGCCGATAGACGTAATGCACACTATTTAAAATAAAAATGGCGCGTTCATTTCAAATACTAGTATCTACTATAATGATGCTTGAAGCAATAAAAATGTCAGATTAAAAATAAATGCATTAATTCTTTATATATGTATATATATATATATATATATATATATAAAGTGAACATAAGTTAACACTTAGAGGCGATCGTCTAGCATGAAACAGACTGTCGCCTCTAAGTGTTGACTTCTATGTTCACTTTATATTTACACACGCTCTATCTCTGATATTGAACACCCATTAATATTGCACATCTTAAGACTATATTTCTTCATATATATATATATATATATATATATATATTCTTCATATATATCTTACTTATTATAAAACGCAGATTGTGAGTGCGTTTTGTACGTTTATATATTGGATCGGATTTCCTACATTTTTCAACCGATAAAACTTCACAGGACTACGTAAAATTACCTTACGGTGGTTCTGACAGCGCAAAAAATGGGAAAAAAACCAATTGTTTTTGCACGAAATCAATTTGAAAACAGATTAAGAGGCATTAATGAAAGGGGGACAACTCATATCAAATTATACTTATTAATATCGAGTTATCGAATTATACTTATTATAAAACCCAGGTTGTGTGTGTGTGTGTGTTCGTTTATATATGGGATCGGATTTCCTACATTTTTCAACCGATTTCAACAAAAGTTCACTTTTTTTTTGGCAGGTAGTGTTTCTTATTGTCTTGCACACTTTTTTCTTTATTTTTACATTCAGAATACTTTAAAAAGACAAGACAATTGTTTATAATAAAATTCTATTCAATCGGTAGACTCATAACGATTGAAAACAATGTTTTTGTTTGGGTTTGACCAATTCGTAAAAAAAAAAAACATTTCTGATGGTCGATACTTGATCTATCTCTTACTGTTACATCCCCAGGCAACGCCGGGCTCTACTGCTAGTATATATATATATATATATATATATATATATATATATATATATAATGTTCCACCTTGTAGAATTTCCGAATGTTTTAGTCTCGCCCTGAAAATATTTCTCTCCCTTCATTTCAGCTCTTACATTCAATTTTCCGGCTTTTTGATCTCGTATGGTATTGTTTGCAACGAAAAGTTAGTCTATTCGTTTTTTCCAATTTATTTTCCTTCACCCTCTTTTCAACCTACTTTATTTTATTTATTTATATATTGACACATGTATTTTTTTTATTTTTTGCTAACTATATATTTTTTCCTTTTTTTTTTGTTTTGTTTTTTGATTATTCCACACATCTCGAAATTGTAATTTTGATTGTTTGAAGTTTACTTATCTTACCGTCGATAACAGTAAAGTCAGTAATGAGTGTGAACGAGATAAAAGAAAGGAAGTATGAATTGTGAAGAATAACGGAAGGAAGTGGGGAAGAAAAAAGAAAGAAAAAGAGTGAAAGTTTTCTACTTTTCCAATATCATTTTTTTTTCGTTTAAATCCTTTTTATTCAGCTGAACAGATAGCGTCAGAAATATTACACGTCTGAAAATAACTTAGTGAATCATTTGTCATGTATGAGTCAAATGGAACTGAGCAACGAAAGTCATATTCGTATCAGGTGTGCAGTTGTAACTTACAGAAACTAATAAAACTATGGCATCCGTCTTCCTATATCTTGAACACCTGCGAACTTTCCCCTTTGTCTTTGCCGGAAGTATAATTTTTACCTGTCAATTCATCTATGCCACTTTAATGTACATTGTAAAGGAAAACTATTCAGTTTGTCATTTACGGGTTTTTAGAATATTTAGGCATCATATTTTTGCCACCTGAGAAAAGGATAGCAATTTCAAGTTGTAAATATAAAAGTTAGAGTTAGTTTTTAAATTCGATGAGTTGAATTCGCGATCAACCACATAATTGGAACTCGATCGACTCGTCGTCTAGTCGGGTCATCTTCAAACCTGATTGACGTCTCATCTGATAGCTCTTTCACTGGCTTAGTGTATTTGTTTCATTGGTTTGCAATGCAAATATCAATATATATATATATATGTGTGTGTGTGTGTGTGTGTGTGTGTGTGTGTGTGTGTGTGTGTGTGTGTGTGTGTGTGTGAGTGCACTTTATATGCACGGTACTTATTGAAAAGTGCTCAATATCCACGATAGAGCTAACATATTCAGTTGCATGGATAGTAGTTTGTAACCCGGGTGAAAGAAAATACTATCCATACAACTGAGTATATATATATATATATATATATGTGTGTGTGTGTGTGTGTGTGTGTGTGTGTGTGTGTGTGTTTGCAGTCCCAGAAACGCGTCGTGGAGCACGATTAGGGCACAGTGAGACAGAAACAACACTGTTGGCCATCTAATGCATCCCTGGTCCATCTCCGACCGTTTCGACTTCGTCTTGCCACCGGACCCAGATCGACAGAGAAGAGAGTGAAGCTGACGATCTTGCCCAACTCTCTCTCACTTAAATCCAATTCACGCGCAAGTCATGACATCATCCCCATCACGTGCCCTTCTTCTCAAGTTCTGCGGCGCTTTTCAGGATAGCACTGTTTCCCAGTCTGGTGAAGGGACTAGAAAAACGGTCCTAAAAATTGCATGATTCAGCCTTCCCTGGCCAACTTGCCGCGGCTAGCAGGAATCCTATACCAACGGTAAGAATCCCAAAAAATCAAAATCGACTACGGTGGTGCGTGGACCTTGCGTGGACTGGCCGGCGTGAGAGACGGACCGCCCTCATTGCGAGCGAACTAGCTCGATACAAAGTGCAGACCGCAGCTCTCAGCGAGACCCGTCTTAGCAGAAGGAGGACACCTGACAGAGCTATCTACCGGCAACACGTTCTTTTGGATTGAACGTGAACACACCGAGCGACACCAGGAAGGAATTGGCTTTGCCATCAAGTTCAACCTGTTCAACATGCTGGTACCTCGCCTGAAGGGGATCAACGATCGCCTGATGACAATCCACCTCTTGCTTCACAGAAGGAAGTTCGCCACACCGATCAGAGCGTACGCCCCCACCATGACTAACCTTGACTTCGTGAAAGACAAAATTCTACGAGGATCTGAAGGGCACTATCTCGACAGTACCCAGGGCAAACAACCTCATCATTCTCAGTGACTTTAACGCTCGTGTCGGCAGAGATTATATGGTGTGGGAGGAAGTAATCGGAAAACACGGCGTGGGCAAGAGTAGCAACAACGGTCTCTTTCTGCTGCAACCCTGTGCCGCTCATGGTCTTCTCATCACCAACACAGTCTTCCGTCTGCCCGACCGCAACAAGAGGTCGTAGATGCACCCGCGCTCCAAATACTGACATCTACTTGGCTACGTCATCGTTAAACAGAAGGACAGGCGGGATGTGAGGGTCAGGTGAACCATGTGTGGTGCTGAATGCTGGACGGACCACAGTCTGATGATCTCCAAGATGAACCTCCATATCACATCAGGCTACAAGGCATCAGAATGCCAAAGCGAAAGAATATCTCAAAGCTAAAGAATAACCTACTCAAACAAAAACTGGTAGAGGAGTTGGACAACAAGCTACCACCACCCAACACAGATCCGTACGTTGATGTGGAGGCGGAATGTGATCGTTTCTGTGACGCTGTCTACGCTGCAGCCTTAGAAGTTGTGCGTTCCATCACTCGAAAGCACCACGGCTGGTTCGACGACAACAGTCGCATCCAGACTCTACTGTAGGAAAAACACCAACTCCACCGAGCACTCCTTAACAACCCGTCCTCCACATTCAAGAAGGAAGCCTTCAGCGCAGCCAGGAGAGTTGTTCGATCTGAACTACGCCGCATGCAAGATAAATGGCTTAGCGAGCGGTCCGACACCATTCAGGTCTACGCAGAAAGGAAGTATATGAGGAACTTCTACAAAGCTCTCAAAGCAGTCTACGGTCCTACATCGTCTGGGTCACTCCCGCTCCTCAGTGCAGATGGGAACACGTTGATCTCAAACACGATACTTGAGAGCCGGGCAGAACATTTCAGCAGTGTACACAACCGACCATCAACCATCAACAAAGAAGCCATTGCAAGACTACCACAAGTTCCAGTCAACAACACACTGGCAGATCCACCAACTAGAGAAGTAACCAAAGCCATCAAGCAGCAAGGCGCATGATGGTGTCAACACCATCCTGGCTGAGCCCTATGCTTCTGGTGGCCCAAAACTGAATGAAAGCCTCACAGACTTGTTCAGCTCCATGTGGACTGAAGAAAGGCTACCATATGAATTTATGGACGCTTCCATTATCCTCTTCTTCAAGCGCAAAGGGAACAGGAACGTCTGTGACCACCATTGCGGCATCACTTTGCTTTCCATCCCTGGAAAGATTCTGGCGCCATCCTGACGAACGCCTTCCGAAATGGAGACATCGGTATAGGTCTCCGCCATCGTACTGACGGTAAACTCTTCAACTCTTGCAACGATTGCAGGTAAAGACAAAAGTGCACGAAGATACGGCCCGTGACTTCCTGTTCGCCGACGACTATGTGCTCAATGCCAGTACCCAGTCTGACATGAGTGGGCCTACTCTCGGAAGCTTACAAATACTTCGGCCTCACAATTTCTACTAAGAAGACTGGAATCCCGCACCAACTTACACCTACGGCGCCCTACATTGAACCTCGCATTACCATCAACGGCCAGAGACTAGCAGTTGCAGACAAGTTCATCTACCGTGGTAGCACTTGTCTTGCTCCACCAACATCGACGAGGAAGTGGCCTACAGAATCACCAAAGCCAGCGCGGCCTTCGCAGACTGAAAGTATAATGTATGGAAACTTTAACACCACGCTCAAATTATACGGAGCAGCAGTCCTACCATGCCTGTTCTATGCATGCAAGATGTAGGCAGTCTACAGCCGGCATGCTCTATACCTTCCATATTAGATACCTCAGGATCATGTTCCGTGTCAAGTTGCAGGAGAAAATCCTGGACACTGAAGTACTCCAGCGTGCTGGGATGGAGCGCATTCGTGCCATCTTACTGTGCTATCAGCTCCGGCGAGTTGGCCAATTCCGCCGAATGGACGACTGTTGCCTCCCAAAGAGATTGTTCTATGGTGAGTTATCCATAGGCAAGCGCTCACTTGGCAAACCAAAGATGCGTAACACTGAAGAAATCTCTCAAGCATTGTAGTATTACCTATTCTACCATGGAAAAGTCTGCTCAGCACCGTGCCATCTGGCGCTCCCTTGTCCTGGGTGTCTGATTTTGAAGAGAAAAGAATCAGTGACAAAGAACAGAGACGCCAGAAAAGGAAAGATCAAGAGGGCTCCGCCTCCCAGCCTGGTTCAGCCCCCAGCATCCCATGTCACAACTGCAACAGGGCGAAGATCGGAGTCATTAGTTATCCCCGTAAGGGATTCAAAAGCAAGTTCATCTCCGCATGCGAAAGACGAACATGTTATATGGCAACACAAAAAAAAACGCCCCTGTTCGTCCAAACTGTCATAATTCTTTATCAATACTACACTTGAAGACAGAAAATATGTTTGTAACAATTTTCGCTCAATGATATTATTAAATTCTATATAAAAGAATTTTGTCATTTGTCGTATTTTTCAAACGACAATGAAATTGAAGCAAAGAATTTTATTTTATTTTCAAAATAAATTTTATGACGGCCTACTCAGTTACATCCGGTTTTAATCTCTCCGCTGTTGGTTATCGCAGAAATAAAAGACGAATAAACAATTAGTGCAAATAGAGTAAATTACCAGTAAGAGTAAAAATTCTATACATCGAAGGGTTTCAAATGAGACTAATGGAAAGTGAAAACCATTTTTATCAGGGTTTAACTATTGTCCTTAAGGGGTCAATAACAAAAGCAGTCAGCACTAATTTCCACCAATTCTCTGGCGCACCCAGGGGCCAAAAAAGAAACATCTGATCATTATTTATATTATTTACATGTGGCCTAATGTTATTATCAGAACGATTCGGTCGTTGTGCACTCCGGACCTCTTTTAGATGTCTGTCGATCCTGGTAAACTTTGCGTCACTTTTGGAAATGAATATACTGTGATATATATATATATATATATATATATATATATATATATATATATATAGATAGATAGATAGATAGATAGATAGATAGATACGACTGACTGAAATAGATTGATAGATATTAATAGACTGACCTAGATAGATACTGTGAACATAGAAATCGACACTGTATATCACTTTCACGTCTCATGCAGTCTACAGAGCATCAGATATGTACTTTTGTTCACAATGTCTCTATCTAGAAACTCTGTCTCTGATATTGAACATACTTTCTCCATAAATATGGCAAAACTATGCATGTACAAGCACAAATGCGCGCTTGCACTCACACACACACAGATATATGTGTGTAAAATTCATATATATATATATATATATATATATATATATATATATATATATATATATATATATATATATATCCATATATCCACTTTAAACATTGGTTTTGGTGGATACTCATATATACTAAATCGCTGAAAAGGGGCATACCATGATGAAAAATGCCCCAAACTTAAAAACAGATTTTTATTGTCAAAATTTTTATGTTATTTTTACGAGGAAAGACCAAAATATTTTTTTAACTGTTTTTTAAAATTTTTTACTCCATTCTAACACGTTCGAAATTTCTTTTAAAAATCCTTTTTTTGTGTCGACGGTGTAACAGAGTTGGTAATGGACATTTTCTCGCTGCCGTTTCCGGTAAAATAACACATTAATTTTGAAATTCTTGCAAAAATTCAAAAATTGTCGGATTTTAATGAATCTTTCAAGAATTATGAATGAATTTATTTTTGAAATTATTATCTTTTAAAAAATTTTTATTTATTTTTTTTATATCTCTTAAGCACCCCCCCCCCATTTAATTTCATAAAATTTTCTATAAAGTTAAAATCGTTAACAAAGTGTTTTATTATTATTATTATTATTATTTAAAAGCAGGACTCTGTTATGGTCCAAAATATTGATGATATTTCATCATTCTAAAAACTTACCAAAAATCATGAAAAAAAGGTAAGGATATTTTATCATCCTAAACTTCATCATTATAAAAACGACCCTTTCCCCACAAGAGAGTCAGTAGAGTCAGTAGAGTAGATTAGGGTATTTGTAACAGTAGTAAGGGATGAGTAGACAACTAGCAATACAAAAACACCCGTCTAGCCAGCATGATGATTGAAAACAGACGATTTCAAATGCTATGCCCACAAACGAAATTCTCGGAACCAAATCAAGTAGGCACTGACTCTCAAACAGAACATTTTTACACACACCATAGCAATATTCTGTAATTCACATCACAAAAAGAAAACACAAATTCTTGTTATGTCGACACGTGTCTCAAGTTTTTATTGTTGCTATCGTTGTAACTTTTATACATTTTAATTTCTGTCATTAATAATGAGTAACAACTCCTTGGAGAATGTGAATCATCATCTTTTTTTTCAAACACTTAACAAGTTTCCTAAACTCTACTCCAAATCGTAAAATAAAAACTGCAATAAAATTATCTAATGATTTACTTAGATAAACTTTTAATTGCTATTATAAATATATTAAGGACTTTATAGTCTGAAGAAAACAGATTTTCGATGAATAATGAATTTTTGCTAGAATTGTTTGCAGTTTTCTTTTTTATTATAAGTTTCAAAAATGTTTTGAAATTCTTCCAAATATCGTCAATGTTATTAAGTTATTAAGTGAAGACTATATTTATTAAACGAAAATTGCAAAGCTGAATACAAATCATCCCACCAAAATTTGTTTACAGTAATTAAGAATAACTTTAACTTTTTTGAACTAAATGTTCTTTGTTTTTAAATCTACTGTTTCATATGTGACATAAAAGGTCACGTTTTTCAAGGGTTGTCTCCCTTAGGCTCATAAACCTTTTCCTTTTACTTAGTTAAGAAAAATTATTTGTTTATATTTTGTTTTTTAATTTTTTTGAAAAGTTTCTTTATTCTTTTTTGTGAGTTATATTTTGATAAAAAAAACGTTTGAAAGATAACCCTTTATTTTATTTTAAACCTAATGTTTAGTTTAATTATTTTTAAACTTTATTTCATTTACATTTGAAATTAGTTTTCTTTTTCTCATTTTATTTTTAATTGTGACAGATACCTCTACTAATTCTCGATACTTAAGTTTTAAAAATGAATTTAAAAACAAAAATGAAAAATCTTTTTTAAAGCTTTCATTTTAGCTTTAATTGAAGGCTAAATGATTAAAAAATAAACTTTTACTATTTCCAGTAAGCAAAATACTCTGGTGTATTTCAAACAGAATTTATATATTAATTAGAATGTTCTGGTATTTTCTTTCTTTCTTTTTTTTTTTTGTAATTAAAAGAAGCGATAAAAATTTTGCCATTTTTTTTTTTTTTTTTTTTTTTTTTAATTCTCGTTTTAAAACTTTTATAAAATACAATACGGTAGTAGATCGGCTCGGACACGAGGAACATTTGCCGATCAAGCGAAGCCAAATAGTGCCTTTAAGCGAAATCTTTCACGTCATGGTGGTTCGAAAGTCTGGTTACCCCTACATAATATAATTTTCTATTTCAAATGGCTGACATGAGCTCGTACAGTTTGGAAGAGTGCTATAGGTGACAAGACTTTCGGACCACCCTTTAGATTCTCTAAATTATATCTGCTCAGTTTCATTTCCAAAGATAGTCAAAGCAATTTCTAAACAACTAATGGACTTTTTAATTATTAATCCGACAGATTTTATCACTTTAAACGTTATTTTTAGTGGATACTCATATTTTAGTAGACGCTCCGTTTATTTATTATACGCTATATTTATCCACTAAAAATACTTGACAAAATTTCCTCTCTTGATTTTCAATGCGCAATATAGAAATTTTCGCAAAAAGATTTACAAAAACTTACAAAATTTCAACAAGTGCAGTTATTAATTTCGTGATTGTCCTTTTTCTAATAATGACCCGCATCTTCGTTGCATCACAATGAATAATGATCAAGTGTGGGAAAGTCCAAATTCTTCTGTGAGAAGAAAAACCGAAACCTAAAACCTCTTTTGAAACACCTCTCAAATTAATATTTTGAACAGAATATAGGAAATAATTAAATAATCAACTTTTATTTAATCTTTTGAATTATAATCCCTGCATCTGTTCATACACTAAATATACAATTAAAATATAATCGACTTGCTTCTTATATGTGCTTTTAGTATTTTAATATATATGTAATCACCATTTTGATACATTTGTTTAATAAATCCTACTCAGGATAACAAGTAATTTTGATTAAGTGGAACTTTTATAAGGAATGGTGGTTAAGAAATAAAATAATAAAATAATTTTACTTGGGATTTTAATTTATCAACATCTATCGAGATCACAGCATCCACACACCTGCTTCGCAGTTAATTAGTGTATGTTATACGCCTCACTAGGGCCGCTTAACCGATTTTGAATTTAGACATTTGTTCTTCTCCAAGACAGACTGGTTTATCTCTATTTTACGAGGGAATCTAAAATGTCCCTTCGACTCGACCCGATTTCGTGGAAGAAGAGATGGTTTCATGCCTTTTTCCAAGGGTATTTGTGCGAAAATAAATGTAACTAATTTGACTCACCTATTTTTTCTTCGGGTTGCTAACGCACAAATATCCCTGGGAAAGGTGTGAATCTTTTCCCTCAACTATGGGTTAAATAATAGGACTTGAATCGGGAAAATCATATTTATTCTAAAAAAAAAAATAGTAATATTTATTCGCAAAAAATAATTATTCTCGGAAACTCCTAAATGTAGCCGTCTCTTCTACTCCAATAGCTTCATGTCTCGCACCTCTCGCCTGTGAAACTCCCTTCCCTATTCCTGTTTCCCTGTGAGCTATAATCTCCAGCTATTCAAATGTAATGTCAATCGACATCTCCAGTTGCCTTGATCTATCCACTACTCTTCTCCTCATTCTTTCTTCTATCACTCCTATCTGATCTTGCTCTAAACTTTCTGTAACCCCTTGCATCCTAGTGGCTTCCCGCCTTGCTTGGGGTGAAATGCTTAAAAAAATAATCCAAAATATGTTTCAGATTTAAATAGTCCACAGAGGGTTGATAATCCGTAAAAAAAAACCAATAAATTCCAAGTCAAAGTTCAGTAAATTAGTATCTGAGAGTTCTCAATATCTAATCCTGACATTACACTTGCAAAGAATCTATATAATTGTGTAGTATACTTTGACGAAACTGATCTCTCGAGCTCAAATAAGTATATATGTATGTTTGCTGTTAGAAAATTTCCTCGAATATAGATATTGTCCTTCCAGAAGCAACCATTTATTTTACTTTAACCCTCTTCTTTTTTTTTCTGTCTCTTAATTTTTGGTTCGAATTATAGATCTTTAGAAATGTGGGATACGGCTTTTAGTTTTAGAGTGTATCTGATCGCAGCGGAACCGCCTCCTTCTGTGAAAGTCCTTTTCATCTTTTATGTCTTTTCGAGAGTCTATGAACTTTTTCCCCCGTATCCATCTTCCTAAAAGCCCCAACGAAGCACCATGAAGAGGTCAAATCGACCATTAAACCTCGAACATTCTCGACGTCATGTGGCTTGAGGGCGTATTTCTTATCAGGAAAATATCTCCAATTTCACTACCTCTGTTTGTTAGTTAATGAAAATCTCCAAACAATATCTATCTTCTTATCGTGTTTGTTTGGGTGTTGTAGTTTAACCCGTAATGGGTCCAAAACAAAGAAAAGCCACAATGACCACAGCCTTCGTACAATTCACGGTGCTGAAATAGCTTCAAACTGTTATTCTAAGAATCTGTGAGTTGTATATATTTTTACCAGATTGTTCTTCATTTGGCCAGTCATGCTTCCCAAAGTTAAGCAACATCGAGCCTGGTCAGTGCCTAGATAGATAACCACTTGGGAATATCATGTGCTGTAAGCATGGATGTGTGGGTGGTGTAATGGATAACGGTTCGAAATAGGAAAACGAAGAACCGAGTTCCAATTTCAGTTGGGTTCGTTATATTGACTTACACGCAAATCCCCTTGGGAAAAGTATGAATCAACTTCTTCTCCCAGCAACTATGGGTTAATTAGTAGAACTTGTATCAGTAAGTCATTATTATCTCTAGAAGAATTCTTACAATCTAAAAAAAATATTTTCTGCTTTTAAATAACCCGCAAAAGGTTGGCAAGCCATAAAAAACAGTCACTCAATTATTTTTTTGTTATTTTAATCATTTCAGCCAAACAAGGCAAGAGTGGATTACTGGAAGTGAAAGAGAATGAGAAGATTTTATTGAAGAGAAGTGAAAAGGAAGGACAATAAAAGAACAGATTTCTGAGAGTCATAAGATGGCAAATGGTGGTGCATTTAATTTTTTTTAGCATTGTAGGTGGCAGAGAAGCAAGAAATCAGAAGAGAGTTTCCGCGGGAAGTGCAAGAGAAGAAACTATTAGAATAGAACATACGGTTGCATGTAGGTAGGTCAACAGTGAAAAGGTGAGACCTAGATGCCAACCTATCAGCACACATAAATTCATGCAATCGAGAAACCGAGAAGGAAACCTCATCGAAACACTTGCCATGAAAATATTTGTAGAAAAGGGGGAAGTCACGTCATGGCAATTTTTAAAAATAATATCTTAGGGGTTCACTTACTTTTAGACAGCACTGTATACTAATCTATCACCCTCTTCATATCTATCTATCTATCTATCTATCTATCTATCTATCTATCTATCTATCTATCTATCTATCTATCTCATTCAATTCACTATCTATCTATCTATCTATCTATCTATCTATCTATCTATCTCAACTTGCCCCTTTTCGACATGCATGTCACACGCGTACACGCTCACACAGAGACATCTGGTGTATCATGTCTATTTGTAAATCCTTTTTGGTGAAGATATCGTTGGCAAATATGGTTGTCTGCAAGCAGCGCTATAAGTGTTCTTGTTAAGAGAAAATCCATGTTCTGAAAAACAGATATGTTTCCTCACTCCCCGTAGAGAGATGTTCATTTCTTCCCTGATTCTGCTAACTGACAGATAGGTATTGGGCTGGAATAAAAGTTCGTAGCGCGTTGGGTGGCGTTTGAACGCATCATTTCGTTTCACATATGACAGAAATTTATGGCATATATTCATATTCTGAAAAGGGTAATTCCGACAAAAAGTATTTTAAAAGTACGTTAAAAGTGAAAATGGAGGAAAATGCGATGCATTTTCGTCATTTGCTCTCTTTTATTTCCGGAAAGAAAAAAAAAACTGTACAGACAGTAAAAATTATGTGTGCTGTTTATGGAAATGGTGCCGTAGCTGAGCGTAATGTTTGTAAGTAGTTCACTAGGATCAGAAATGGAAATTTTGATTTGAAATACCGAAAACTTTCCGACCGATAGTCATTGATAATGATGTAATTGAAATGATAATTAAACTTCATTCATATGACACGAGACATCGCAGAGATACTTCACATATTTTATATGAGCATTGTAAGCCATTTGAAAACACTTAGGTGGTTGGGTGGCTTAAAATTTGAGGTAAAAAATGAATAGGTTGCATTTCCATCTACAATTCTCTGCCCACACGCAGCAAAAACGATCCGTGTTTTTTTTTTTAAAGAACTATCAAATGATAAAATGTATTGTTTACAACAAGGTGGAGTGAGAAAGGTCTCGGCGAAAATAAAATGCACCAGTTAACCATTACCAAAGTCGGTCTGTATCCGAAGAAGTCGATGCTGTGTATCTGGCCGGTTTGGAAGAATATTGTGTATTACGAGCTCCGTTCGCAAAATCATACTCTGAATTCAGACGAAATGGCCCGATTAAAGTGAGTAATCGACGAAACACATCCATAATTGGCCACTCGACAATACCGGACCACAAATCTCTTAGCAGACCCCACTGAAATTAGTACAGTTTGGCTGGGATGTCCTACTACGCCTGCCACATTCATTTGACCTTACACGTTTGGATTATCCCTTAAATCCTCTTAATTGGAAGAACTTCAATTCTCTGAACGTCTGTAAATCTACTTAAAGCATTAGGTTGAAAAATGCCAAGTTTTAGGAAGATAGAATCAGGAAGCTACCTCCTCAAAGATAGCGAAAGGTTGTGAAACAAAATAGCACGTGTGTTTGAACAAATTTATGCACAGATATATATATATATATATATATATATATATATATATATATATATATATATATATATATATATATATATATGAATGAATGAATGATGGTTGTCTATTCGGTTTCGAATCATAATTCGTGGGCCCCGTCCTGATTTATGATACGGGGTCTCTCATTCTACTACATTTCTGTTTTCATAAGTTAGTATTCATATGAGATGTAGTTCACTGCCACCAGCAAGCAGAGATATTTCTTCTCCTGATGATGGCCGAAGCTAGTCGCGGCCGAAACTAGTCGCGGAATCAAAATGAAATAATAATAATAATAAAAGCGAAAGAATATTAATCTACAACACAGTGTGTCTGAAGATTTTAATTTTTTAATATTTTTTATTGTTCAATATATATATATATATATATATATATATATATATATATATATAAAGTGAACATTGAAGTCAACACTTAGAGGCCACGATTGCGTCTAGCATGAAACAGACTGTCGCCTCTAAGTGTTGACTTCAATGTTCATTCACTATATTTACACACACTCTATCTCTGATATTGAGCACTTTATCCCATAAATATAGCACACCTTAAGACTATATATATATATATATATATATATATATATATATATATATATATATATATATATATATATATATATATATATGATGGATAGCGGCTCAGATTGAGATGTAGTACGGTGGCTGGGACGTATCATAGATGTGGCCCTGTGTAGGGTAATTGTTTTATGAAAATATTTTATATGTATTCCGTGTATGTTTTTTCCTCGTGCTAGCTGCAGATATAAAAGATTATCCTGTCGCAAAATATAATTGTAAATATCTTAAAGTTATAGAAGCAAGGCATATTATTTTCTTAAAAAGTTCTATTCTTTTCAATTTATTGATTAAAATCACGTATTTAAACGTAATTTTAATCAATAAATTGGCTTTTTTAAAATCACGGCCTTACTGAATGGTGGGCTTCCTAGACTAAAATCCACAGTTAAGGTGGAGCGTTCTCTCGATGTAATTAATAACCGTGATCAAGGCGAGCCTTCAAGTCGGATGACATTTGGCTGAGGTTTGAACTGGAGAAGGATGGACTCTGTCAGGTCTACTTTGACCAAGACACGCCTGAATGGATAGCTACCGATTTACATGGAGGGAACTGACCCGGTGCTCAATTGCTCAGCGGTACGAAGATCACGCTCGGTCGTGGGACTGATGATGATACGTTATCTGTTATGAGTTCACTTGTTTGAGCAGACATTCCTGTTTTTTTTAATAGTGAAATTATTATCTACCGGCTTAGAGATCGAAAGTCTTATTAAAAGAAATGTGCCCCTCGACAGGAATCGAACATGTGTTCCATTTAATCTAGTTTCTGAAATTTAAAAAATGTGTTGAATGGTAAGTTTTATTTTAACAAGATTTTCGACCGTTAGACTGGTAAGGGTATTGATTTCACTGCTTAAAAAGCCTGATATCTACTCAGACGCGTGTACCCGCTACAAACAATATTTATACTAATAATATATGCATATATATAAGAACGAATTGACGATGGGAGTAAAATAAAGCAGATATCTTCGGATACTGAGAAGTCTATATCTTACTTAAACTATTTAGTATAAGTATCAAGATATGAGACTGCTTGATGAGTTAGGTACTTATGTCTTTCTCAGCTGGTTTTTGTGTTCACGCCCAGGTAAAAAAAAATACAGAATTTTGAAGAACTGAAATTATTAGATGCAAATTCACTTTGAAACAGAGATATTAGTTACTACGTTTGGTTCTGATGAGGAAGGAGATAACATGTGAGCATTGTCATTTAATTAATAATTAATCCACTTTCCTCTGTTACTCTTGCTGATATTAGTCGGTATAATTAATGCAATATTCACATTTCTCCGGGGAAAACAGAGATAAGGAAAAAATATTTCAGATTCACAGAAATTTTCAATTTTTGTGCTGAACAATGCATTGAGGAAAAACTCATACATAATTCTGATCTTTTATTCATTTTTCAGTCATTTTTAACATGGAAGAACAGACAATAAGTATGAACTGTACAATTGTAAGCAATAAGGGCACCTCGAGCCTGTGTAATGGTTAGCAAGCTTGTCTCGCTAGAACGATTACGACTGAGTAGTGAGTTCGATCCTCACTGGGTGCCCAATACTTTCGGCCTTGTGCCACATCTAAGCAGTGCTTAAAAACATTGGGTACCTCGAGGCTGTGTAACGGTTAGCAAGCTTGACTCGCTAGAAAAATTACGACTGAGTAGTGGGTTCGATCCTCACTGGGTGTCCCCTACTTTTGGCCTTGTGCCACATCTAAGCTACGCTTGGAAAATCTCTACAGTGTAATTGAAAAGTAACTCCCTATTCTATATATGATGGACTCTCCCGTCTTGTAAAAATTATAGTTAGACGGGAGAGTCCATCATACATATAATAGGGAGTTACTTTTCAATCACCCTGTATATTTGATACCAAACAGGAACTGCTATTGTGTTGCCGCTCAGATAAAACCAGTCTTTCGAATACTGATTTTTAAGTCTCTGGCCTCTTTGGGGATTTAATAATAGTTTTCCTTCAATTAGTAATATTCAAGGTTAATAAAAATGCAACTATTAAAGCAGGTACTTCCGAAAAGAGAGATATTTCTCGAACCTTTTATTTTAGTCTTAATTTCAATAGATTAAATAAATTTATAAATAAAAAAAAGAAATTGATGATTTAAATTTTTCAAAGAGTTCAGCTTTAACGAATGTAAATATTAAGCTCCACAAAATGTAATTTCTAGAAATTTCATAGAATTAAATAAGTGGTGGTGATTGGGGAGGTTAACGCATGTAAAAAGAAATTTATTTATCAGGATTTTCTAAAAAAAAAAAAAAACATATCTCAAATAATTTCACCCATTTGTAAATAAGTCCTGAAAGCTTCATTAAAATCCGACAATAATTTGATTTTTGCAAGAATTTCCAAATCAGTTAAAATTTCTTATTGGTCACTGGACTGAGTCAAAAAATCAAAATTTTCAACCAAAATTTAGAACGTTCTAAAAAGAATAAAAAAATTATAATTTAATAATCAAAAAATTCTTTGGTCTCTCTTGTTAATAATAGCATAGACATTTTGCCGATACGATTTTTTCATCAATGTATGCTATTTTTTAGCGAATCAGTGGTGATATCTATGTATATTAAATTGTTTCACCAAAAGTTCAAGTGTATCACATTTTAGTTGCAGACAACAAAGACAACACTCGTTACTATGCTAAAAAATCAGTCGACATAAATAAATACTTATTTCTCAAAAGATTATTGAATACTGAAATATTTTGAAAGTGATTCTTGATTACAAGTTATAGATGAGAACCCTGATGCGTTTTTATACAGAGAATGTTTGTCTTTTCGAAAAGTTTGGCCTATTTTTTTTTTATTCTGAGAAACAGAGCCTGAAATAATCGAATGCAAAATATATGGAGCGTAAAATTGTTTTAATTCTTCAGAAAGGACTTCGTGGCAAAAACACAACGGCCTAAAGCATCTACATTAATAACGACTCAAAAAGAAACCAGTAATCGATAAATCGATAAATACCAATAGAAAAATAAGTAAAAGTGGACGCTGAAAAGCCCTACTCTTAACCAACATCCCAAATCATATTTTTAATCCGGGACCGTTTTTATTCGTTTTATGGATTACTCTTGGTACATACGACCTCTTGCAAGGTTTCCGTAAATGAATTGTTCCACAGAATGGGGGTGATCGGCCCCATCCTCAACCTCTGAGGAAGGGTTGG